TTCGTTATATCATTGTATTCGTTAAAAAAAACGCTACAACTTTTATTATATTAAAATTGTCATGTTACCATGCAAAAATTAATCATGTCTTTCCGCTCTCTAACAGATAATATTTCTAATTGTGATCACTGCATGCTTACAATAAGGGCTCCTGCACACTGGACGCGGAAATGCTTGCTGCGCGGCAAAATGCAACATGATAACCAATGGATATGTCATCTTTCTTTAGGAGCAGTAAGTTTATTGGCTACTGCGTCGCATTTTGCCGCGCGGTAAGCATTTCCGTGTCCAGTGTGCAGGAGCCCTAAGGTTTAGTCAAAGCCGTTTAATTTGATATTATTAGGTCTATCTCTATTAGTTTACGAGATAAAAAGGGGTAGCCACTTATACAGGGACATCCTGTATATACAGGGTAATTTTTTTTAACCTGAAACTTTCAAATATCTCGAAAAATAAGCACACTATAGGAAAAAATGTTTCAGACAAAAGTTTTCGGACTTCGAAGGGGACATAAGATGATAACATTGATTTGACCCTGAGTGGCGTCGTCAAGATCAAGAAAAGGTCACTTTGAATTTTTTAAATGGAACCCCCAATTTTTTATTATATGTTCTTATAGCACGCCTCGAAAACTTTCCAAAACACATAAATAAAATATTGTTTTATGAAATAAATTGTAACGTCCGCCGCCAGTACTACGTCGCCGAACGTTTTTTCCAAACACGCTAGATGGCGCCACCCACCCTATTTCATGCCTTCACTGTCGTATAATACGATTTACTTTAATACTTTGGTTTTATGCTTTAAAATAATTTTTATTCAAAGGGAAAAGCAAAGAAACCCTTATCTATATCAATATCCAACTTTATAATAAGAAAATATCTTAATTTTCACGATCATTTTATATGCGATCGTAAAACAATTCTAATATCTTACTCTCTTGTTCGGGGTAAATAAACCCTTTTCTTAATATAATAATAATATAATAGTTTATCATATAATTGCATTTAACCACTCAGACTTAAGCGCTTCTTTATATTCATCTATGTAACGCCACGAATTTGCCTTATTATTTTAAGACATATATATAATCAGCTTTCATATACTTAAATTCATCCCCATAATATAAGTTCCTAGTAAATATACTTGCGTAACGTAGTTTAGCTGCGAGCGATTCTATTTCCTTTCTTATTTTTGTAAAAGGAAGTCTCAACGGATCTATATAACTTTCCACGAAGATTCCGTTAAGATTTCATAATAGAAACAACACATGTACACCATATGGAAAGTCATAAACCCGGCTATTGTTAAAGATCGGAAGAGCACACGT